AACCTCTAAACCCCTTTTTCTCATCTTCTTTTTGAAAAAGTCATAGATAATACGACATAATTATATCTGATGATTATTTTGGCAATCAAACACAAAAATCATTATTCACGCCGTTTATACTTCATTCTCTATTGTGTGTGGCGAACTTTATCTTTTTTTTTATTTTTTTACCATGCTTCTGTATATAGTATCTGTGAAGTATCCCTCTTCCTATTCCCTTAACGATTTGGTGGTGGGAGTTATTCTGGGGTATGAATGTGTGTCTGTGTATATATGTTCTAGTTGGTAGCATTTATTAAAATTCTATAATCAGTTGGGGAGTAGGCGAATATGTTATTTTTTATTTGGGGGTATAACTAAAAGTCTGCTATTTCTGTTCAGGTGTGTACGTGGTTGTATCTTTAAATTGTGGATTATCTTCTTTAAAAATATAGTCATTTTGGCTATCTTGAGTAAAAATAAATAAAGAAGTTTCCCTTTGTAAACCAAAACTGATTCTCTGCTATACTTCTGTCGTATGGAGTTCCGCATCATCCTTATTTATTTTCAAGTCCATGATCTTACATCATTCTGTGCCTACTTGTATATCGAAGGTTTGAAGAATACAATTATTTCATTTAATTGTGGGCAGGAAGCTATTAAAATTATTCAACCTTCTTCTAAAAGGGAAGGATTTTCTGATGTGCCAAATGTGAAGTGGGATGATGTTGGAGGTCTTCATTTACTCAGAAAAGAGTTTGATCGTCATGTAATTAAACCTATAAGGTTTCCTGAAGTTTATAAGGTAACTTTTTACGTTTTCTAATTTTTTTTGACGAATGTGAATGGTGTTCGCAAAGCAGACTGCTTGAGCTGCTCTCATTCTTTTCCCTTACTATATTGATTTCATCTTCTTGTAGAGTCTTGGATTCAACTTGGAGACAGGCTTTTTACTTTATGGTCCTCCTGGTTGTGGAAAGACCTTGATTGCCAAGGCGGTTGCTAGCGAGGCTGGGGCTAATTTCATGCATATAAAGGTTCTGTCTTTGAATGTATTATTATGCTATAATAGAGTTGCTGATATCAAAATTCATTGGTTCGTTACCATATTAACTTTTCTTTTTCTACATTTAGGGTCCTGAACTTTTGAGTAAATACGTTGGTGAAAGTGAGCTGGCAGTGCGGACAATCTTTAGTCGTGCAAGGACATGTGCACCGTGCGTTCTTTTCTTTGATGAGGTATAACTTGTCTTTTATCTTGGCAATTACCCTTTATTTTGGGACCTTTTATTTGTTTCTGTGTAATGATCTGTTCTTTATAAGTAAATTCCATGTTCGAAAATTAAAGAGTTTTATCGATGAGAGTTGAAATTCATAATAGAACGAAGTGATGAGGTGTAACCGTTACATGTCAGAGCTTGAAATAAAACCATAATTCTTCTGAGGAGATGAACCCAGGAGAAAGTTGGATATCATTCATATTTCAAAAGATTTTGCAAAAATGTTTTGTGGATGAAATGCTTTCTGGCTTAAATGACTTAACGAGTGGTTTCTGGAGCAGTTCCTTTCTTCATGGGACTTAAAGTATTAAAGATCCAAATGGAGTAATGAAGCTTCCATTTATATCTTTGTTACTTGTTTTTTCATTCACCATGAATATATCACCTTTTCCAACCAGTAGTTACATACACGACTTGCATGTGCTCAGTTCACACAGTCTTGGTATATTTATTTCAACGAACTGTTGAGTATAATACTTCAATGTATTTTTTCGTTATCAGGTGGATTCACTGACAACAAGGCGTGGTAAAGAAGGGGGATGGGTTGTTGAGCGGCTCTTGAACCAGGTTTGATTAATAATCATGTTCCTGACACTGCGTTTCTTATGCGCCTTTTCTCTTGTTTTTAATTAAATTCCATTACTTACTGAAATTAGACATATTCCATTGTAGCTCCTGATAGAGCTGGATGGTGCAGGAAGAAGGAATGGTGTTTATGTAATTGGTGCCACAAATAGGTAAGAGCAAAATGGCACTTGTCCAATTTTTGTGGACGTCAATTGGCCCCGTGTCCTTGTATTGTCAATTTTTATCTTTGTTCGACATATATTGGCAGGCCAGATGTCATGGATCCTGCACTGCTCAGATCCGGAAGGTTAGGGAAGCTTCTATATGTCCCTCTCCCTAGTCCTGACGAACGGGGGATGATATTGAAAGCTCTTGCTCGGAATAAGTTACTAGATTCTGATGTGGACCTCGTGGCCATAGGGAAAGACGGAGCTTGCGAAAATTTTAGTGGCGCTGATCTTTCTGCTTTGGTATGCCTTTTTCTCTCTTACCTTATTATTATTATTATTTTTTGTCTGATCCAAAAGATGCATTTCTTGAGTTTTTTATGTAAAATATATATATAAAAAAATCAATTTTATGTTATGTGTTTTTGTAACATCCTTTCATGAAATCAACACGATATAGATTTTTTTTTTTTTTTTAATTGTGAAATTAGCTTCGGGAAAAAGGAGAAAAGAGAATTAGATGGCAAAACGAGTTGCTTAATTTGGTTTGATATGTGCACACACGCATGCATGTGTTATATATAGCCATCTTTTACCACAACTACTATTTTTTTTGGAACTAAATAAAAATGAAAGATATTTGTTGAAGTTTACCATTATTTATCTCTAATAAATGACAGATGAATGAAGCGGTGCTTGCTGCCGTTGAAGAAATACCACCGACAGGAAGTTCAAACGAACCATTGGCCATCAAAGATGCTCATTTCAAGAGAGCATTGGAGAAAATCTCTCCCTCCGTTACGAAAGAGGTGATTTTTTTTTGGTCTTTGCCTGATGCAATTTATGCCTGCAAACCTGTCTGTTTATTCACTTCATGTTTTTGTTTTTTTAATGTTTTTGTCTGCAGCAAATTGAGTATTACAAACTTCTATCGAGTAGATTTAAAGCTTCTCGAGGGTAGAGGCGATGCTCTGTATGATCTTTCAGAAGGCAATTGTTTTAGCAGCAGACGTGGGGTTCCTTCTGGGGAGCAAAAATTTTGCATTATTTTCTTGTGTTTTATTTATTTATTTATTTTTTTCATTTGACTAGAATGGGATTTTCGATGAAGATACTTAGTGCTTGTTTGGGAACACTTCTCAAAAAGTCCATTTAAAATATGGACTTCTCCAAAATGGACTTCTCCATAAGTCTCTTTCATTTACTTCTACATAATGGAATTTTTAGAGATACAACTTATCCATAAGTCCATTCTTAACTTAGCACCAAACATAAATACTTATCCAAATGGACTTTTGCATCCAAAAGTTCATTTGAAAAGTGTTTCCAAACAAGCTCCTAATTGTCCAAGGCATGCTAATGCGCATATATAACGCTTAGCCCAATTTTTAGATTACTGGCACTTGAACCAAGTTTAAAAAGCTCATCACTGAAAATCGAAATTTTAATGAATATTTTCTGGGCCTAGTAAATTGACAAACACAATCATTGCTATTTGAATTGATAAATAAACTTAAATCATTTGTAAATAGAGACGATTTTCTTTTACCTATAACTAGGGAAGAACCTGCCGTTATTTAGATATTTAAACATTAGGAATGAAAAAAATTTAATATTAGTAGGAATGAAAAAATTTAATATAAGGTTGGATGTTAAAATATAAATATGAGCTCTTTTGAAGGAAGCTGGCAGCAACCCACAGGTAAAAGCTTTTCATTTTTGGTCATATGCCGTAGCAAATCAAGGTTCGGAGTCAGATGATTGTGAGAGAATGAATGCCTATGCGTCCGTTGTCATGGTTCAAATTGATTAAACAAACAATTTCATATTAAATAAACAATTTGAAATTGATTAAATTGTTTCCTAAAAAGGGTTAGGTTAATATTATTCTATTTTGTTCGTAATGAAAAAATTATGTTCGTAAGAACAAAGAAAAGCATATTTTATCTTTCGTAATATACTCTAAGCCCAAAGATGATAAAGAGTATACACGCCTTTGTCATCAATATGAACTCAAGCTTCGGTAGTTGGAAGATGGTCTAGGTGTTCCACGGGGGAGAGGTTAAAGACAAGCAAGAAGGAAACGTCTTTATTTCGGGAGTTCCCGCCGCAACGATGTCACAGGCGCCGACAACTACTATGATCCCTGGGTCTTCGACTAAACATAAAGAAAGAATACCGTACTACACGCGATTCTCTTCGGCAGAGGATTTTTAGGCTGAAACCCGAATGAACTGGGTTCGGGTGATGTGTGCGAAATAGAAATTGCGCCCGACCGAGGTATATAAGCATTGCCTATATATAATAAAAGTAGAAGGTAATTGATAAAATGCACAAAATTCTAGATACTACCCATGTGCAATAGTTTTAAATCCCAAATATCAGTGCTACTATCGTCGCCTTTAGGTATGCCAAGGCAATTTAAAATGAACATGTTACATTATAAAATGAACATGTGTAAACATATTTACACATGTTCATTCTATTATGTAACATGTTCATTTTAAAAATACTTTGACACACCTTGTTAGGTGTGCCAATGCGCACCTAAGTATTTGCGTCCCAAATATTTCCAAAAAAGACACTTTCACTGCTTAACAAGAATACAAGCCCAACAGGAACGCAGGAAGAACGGACCTCTAAATAGCTATTAGCAGCTGCAAATAGTAAAATGAATTGTTATACCTCAAAGACACACAAAGACATAAAGACAAAGCAAACGAAAATTGAGTTCATAACTTTATAACTCATTAAACATACACACTACGCATGAGGTATTAAAGGGTCAAAACATAAATACTTCATGTTCAAAACATACAGAAACAGAATAGTAATCAGCACGTACATATTGAAGCAATAAAAAAAAAGACCTAACTTTCTTACCATGTAATTTTAAAATGAACAAAACTACATTGAGTCAACAACCTCAGCATCAACAGCAAACAAAAAAAAAACTTCAACCTTTAATATGTTGACAAAATATTTTTAACTCATTTTCAAGATAAATTATTTGATTAAGCGGTTTTATTTATGTATGCAGATTTGATTAACAGGTTGTTTGTCTCAACTAGGGGTGGGCGCGGTCGGGGACCGGTCCGGGACGAGACTCCGTTCCAAACCGATCAATAACAATCGGGACCAGGACAAAAAATGGTTCGGGACTGGAAAAACGGATAAAAAAAAAAAACTCAACAAATACTTATTCCATTAACACACTACATCAACATACATTAAAACTTAAAAGTAAAAAGTTCAAAACAAACATACACATATTGTCGTTCACATAAAGAGTTAAAGTCCACTAAAACAAATAAACAACATACTCCAAATCTCCAAAAGGCAAAAGTCCAATAGTCTGTAGGTCAAAACAACCATACACTGATACACATTACTACAAAGACATTCTGTAACTTTGTTTAATCAAACTAAAGACATACTCTGATTCCACTACAATGAGTCAATGATTACAAACATTAAACGTACTCCATAATTCAAAGTTTCAAACTGAAAATTGAAATCAGTCAAATACCCTAATTCTAATCACCATAACCACCATCTCTAAAAGTATCATCTTCATCTTCTAAGCTTTCCACATCGACCAGCTTATCCCCAACAATCATTTTTGCATTATACAACTCTACAAAATGGAAAACACCCAAAGAAAGTGAATTATTACTTTATATCTTATAAGAGCAATAATCAAAGTCTGAATGAAACTAAAAATAATTATAAGAGCAATAATAAATCATCAATGCACAAATTCTGAAAATGAAAGAATGAAACTGAAATTAAATAGTACATGTCTCAGTATTCTCATAGAACTCTAACTCTTGAGCTGAAAGTTCATTCTCAAGTCCATGACTATGTCATCTCCTCTAATCCAATTTTGCATGCAAATCAAGGCCTCTACAGATTTAGGAGTTAATGAACTCCTAAATGAATCAATGACTCTCCCTCCAGTGCTAAAAGCACTCTCAGAAGCCATTACTGATACTTGCATAGCAAAAACATCTTTGGCAAGTGAAGAGGGAACTGGATACCGGGAGCCTGCATATTTCCACCATTGCAATATATCAAAGGATTTGTATTTCTCTATGATCACCTCTTCAGCAGCAAGGTCATCACCTTTTTATCCTTAATGGCTAACAAAGGATCTTCCAGAAATACATCAACCTCATGCTCTAGTGTTGCCTCATCAGTTTCTGTGATATGTTTTGTCCAATCAACAACATACTTCAAGTTGCTGGTGGCTATATTAACCCTATTCCCAACATTTGAATCATTTTCCATCATTTTTTGCCTCTTCATGTTACTGTTGTTGCTGCTACTCACCAGTTTTACACTTCTTCTCTTCAAATTTTTATCATTTTTTTCACTATACTCTTCAAACAACTCATACAATAGTGTTGTGATCTCTTTTTCCTTCTTCTCAACCTCATAATCACTTCACATCATACAACAATTTAGTAACATGCTTCATCTTAAACCTTGGATCCATCACAATTCCCACAAAAAATTAAAGGATTCATATCCTTCAGTTGGCCAAAGTATTTGTTATACTTGGTTTTCATGAGTGATGCAATGTCAGCCATTAATTTATGAGTTGCAGTAAGGGGGGCACATATTAACTTGTTGTTCATAGCTTCTTCCATATGAATAATATCATGGAAGGTAGTATGAATGGTTGGGTGATTAGAGGCACTTACCCTAAGTGTGGTATCATAAATAAACTTGAAGAAAGCTTATAAAATGTTCACATGCATCCCAATCTAAATCCCTTGGTGGCCCAATTTTTTTTATTATTATTATTATTTTTTTTTTGGTCTCTTTTATGAACAATTACATTTCCATCCTCACCAATCTCCTCATCAAGCTCATTAAAGTATGCAAGATATGGGTTGTCCACCTCTTGTTCCATTCTTTTGAATGTTTTTTTGAGTTTCAAGGCAGAATCCAACATCAAATATGTTGAATTCCATCTTGTTGGCACATCTAAGCACACCAATCCCTTATAACCAATTTTTTCCCTAACCACAACCTTCTTACAAAGGGCCAACCTAGATGGTGAGCTTCTTACAAACTTGACAGCCTTTCTAATTGCTAAAATAGTAGAGTTTAGCTTTTTAAGGCCACTGCCAACAACTAAGTTTGTAATGTGTGCCACACATCTCATGTGCATATGTTGCCCCC